CGCTGACCCCCCTCACGCGGATTGACAGGGTCAGAGTCCGAAAACACATGGGATTTGCTACATGTCTGACATTCGACGGCACCCCTCATGCAGATCCGTAGGGTCAGGGTCCAAAAACACAAGGGAATTGCTACATTTCTGAAACTTAGTGGCACCCCTCACGCAGATCCGTAGGGTCAGGGTCGAACAACAAACAGGTCCGGACACTGCTTCACGGCTGCGCCCAGACCTCATGATTTAGCTTTTGCATCTCCCATCATCCGAGACAGGGGGCCGGCGGCATGGGGCGAAGCCCTTACGGATAGCACCAGGACCTCGACACCATCATTCCCGTCGAGGCTTTGGGCAGTCCAGATAGGTCTATCGGTCTGGAGCGTTACTTTTTAACACTCTGGAAGGTCAGGGGAGATCACTCGGCCCCATTCTACAGTCGGGCTTCTGAAATAAGGAACGCCGAAGAAGGAACGAAGCCCCTCCGGGGCTTCAGAACAGCCCGGGTGCACGAGAAGGGCTGGAGGAACAACCGCGGAAGGGCGCGAGGAACCTCGAACCCCTCCCGAATCCAGACCGTTCCTCATCTCAGCGTCCTGGAGCCTGTTTTTTTTTTTAGACTCTGGTAAATTTACTTGCGTGGACGGGGGGGGGGCTGAGCCTGAAGCAAGCCCGGGGGGGGGGGGCGCGGAAACCACGCAAGTCGAAAGGCACTTGCACGCCAGTGTTCGCTTGAAGAGGAGCGAGAGGGGGGGGGGGGGGGAGGGGGGGGGGCGAACGCCATGCAAGTAAACTTGCCTGAATCCAAAAAAACAAGCTCCTGGCTGCACTTGGGGCAGTGCAAAAGGGGGTCACCACTAGGGGGGTCGCCACTTCCTCGAGCAAGCGCCACTTCCTCGAGACTTCCTCGAGGAACTGGGCCCCCCAGAGCCCCGAAAACGCAGAGAAACGTCCAAGAACATCCTCGACCCCTCGACTCTCCATCCTGGAACCTCGATTTCCAGGAGAAGCTGGCGACCCCCCCAGTGGTGACCCCCCTTGGCACTGCCTGAGCACTAATCGGACCCCGTGCGGGTGGCCCGGAGAGTGCCCGGTGGCGCCGTCCTCGGGCGAGGCGCCGGGGCCCGCGGGCGGCAGGCAGTTCGGCGGGGAGGCCACCTCGGCGGCGACAGGAAGCGGGCCTCACGCGAGAGGACACAGAGTCGGGGCGTTGACCTAAAATTAACGGGCGAAGAACGGTATAAAATAAACTGTTTCGCTGTGGGGGGCGCCTGTCCCAAGGCGGCTGGAAAGTTTATACCCCTACGGTGGCACCGTAGGGATATAAACTTTTCAGCCGCCCAGGGGCAGGCGCCCCCGACAGCGAAAAAGTTTATTTCATACCGTTCTTCGCCCGTTAATAAAAGGAACCCTGAACGAGGAACGAGGCCCCCTTTTGATCCATAAGCGATAAGCTTCGGCTTCCCATCGGAAGCCTCAGGAACACCTTGGGCAAGCTGTGGAACAATCAGGAAATACCGAGCCCCTCCCCAACGAAAAGGGTTCCTTCTTCAGCGCCCCGACTGTACGGTCGGGAACTGTTGCTTGAAGTGTCGCGGCGGCTGCCCCAGCGACACGCCAGCTTTGCGAGCGGATAGGGTGTCGCCGCGCTCTGCGGGGCGGGAGGCTCGTCAAGGCTCGGGAAACTGGCGCTTTGAAATGGGCGCGTGGGTTGCCTGTCGCGCCGAAGCGTGGCGGGCCAGAACCAGCGGAGCGACAACCTAAGCCAAAGTGTTTGACCGCAGCGACCTTACGCGGTGGCTTGCGCGGGCTGCCAACGGGGCGAGCTAGATTGGAAACGAGGCTGCGCAGGCGCGACCTTACGCGGGCAACTTACGCGCGCATGTCGGCGCAGAGGACTCCGTTCTCTTCCGGCGCTCACCTGGAAAGTTGCACGTCTCGAGGAACAACAAACACGCCACGAACACAAACTTCAGGAGCTCCGCGCGGACTTCTTGGATTTGCGTTGGAACCTCTTGGCGGCGCCTTCGGCGCGCCCTTGGCGCGCTCCGCGCGCCATGGAAAGGGGGGGCCCCCAGCGCCGTCCCAAAATAATCCGTGTGTACCTCCGAAAGCTTCTGTGTGTGTGTGTGTGTCGTTTGTTACTCCTCGAATGGCGGTTCTGCTTCTGCCAGTGCAGTTCGGCGGCGTCCCCGAACTCGACGGCTAGGACTGGGGCGCCGCGCATCCCGCAGGCGTCGAGGTCGCCCCGCTCCACCACCTGCTCGCCAAGCCTCCTGAGCTCGTGCAGGGAAGGGGTGGAGAATTCGCCGATGGTGTAGGCTGCCTGGTTGGCCCTGGAATACAGCCTGTCGCCCTTCACGGAGAGCTGGGACTTGGTGTGCTGCTCGTCCTGCTCTCTGAAACCGAACAGGCGCTCGAACCAGTCCGTCATCGCTGGCAGCTCGGAGCGCAGCGAGGGCTCGAGGAGCACGAAAGACGGGCGGACGATGGTGATGGCAGGGATGGCATCGAATTCGGGCGTGCTTGAGCCAAAGATCGCGAAAAGGCAAGCGCACCCTCACACCGTATGTATAGGGGTGCTGGTCCGAGCCTCGCGGCCTCAGGGCGCGCTGCGAGAGCGGGCTAGCAGGACCCCAGTCCGACAACACACAAGCACACTCACACACACACACACACACCTGCACACACACACACACACAGACACACACACACACACGCGCACACACACACATATATGTATATACATACATGCAAATCTACAACATACATATATGATTATATATATGTAGAAATGTAGATATGTAAATATACAGCCCCTCCCAATATCATACCTTTCGCCGTCGCTCCAATCTTCAATCACCAATCTTCCATCTCGTCCGCCTCCTCCCCATTGCAATGTTTCTCCTCCGACTTCCCTGCACCTCCGCCTCCTCCTCCTCCTCCTCCTCCTCCGCTTCCATCTCCAAAATGTATTCCCAGGTTGCTCTCCGCCTCCTTGCCCTCCGCCTCAGCCTCCTACGCCGCCTTGCCGCGCGCTCTCGACCCATGCACTCCTCTTCTTCTCCATCTAATCCGCTGTGCAATACATTTGGTTCGTTCCACGGAGTGGGCTTGCATATGGTGCGCCCCACCACATGTCCCTCTGCATGTTCGCATGCGTTCCCCGCTATTCCTCCTCCTCCTCCTCCTTCTCCTCCTCCTCCTCCTCCTACTCAACATCACCCTACTACGTCACCCTCCTCTTTCGATACATCCTACTAGGCGCCCTGCCACCTCGGCCACCGTTTCGCGGATATGCCTCGCTCTGTCTCTTCTTGTTCTTCCCCGCTGTCCTCACCCCACATGCTCCGCTGCGATCGCTGTAATGCAATATACGTGGCGCAGCTTACGGAGTGCAACGCGTGTCGGCAACGGGGAGTGGCAGGGCAATGCGGAGGAAGACGTAGAAACAGAGGAGAGGGTGGACGCGGAGGAGGAGGAGGAGGAGGACGGGGGGCGGTGGAGGAGGAGGAGGCGAAGGCGGAGGCGGAGGAGGAGGAGGAAGGGGAGGCCGCCGCAAGGACGAAGAACGAACACTAGGGAAACACGAGAAACAAGGAAAGCACTTGTGTTCCCACAAGGAAACAAGGAACACAGCTTCAAACCAAAGGCGCGGAGGAGGGAAACCACACATTCTTCCTCCACAACTCCATAATGAGAAGGAGGAAGAGAAGGAGGATAATGAGGAGGAAGACGGGAGGCGGTGGAGGAGAACGCGGAGGCGGAGGAGGGGGGTGAGAAGAAGGACGAGGAGGATGCGGGAAAGGAAAAGCAGTGGATGAGGAGGACGCGGATGCGGATGAGGCGTGCGCGGAGGAGAAAACACAGGTAAACATCTCCTCTCCTTTTTCCCACTGGGACGGAGGGGAACAGGAGAAGGAGAAGGCGGATGTGAAGGAGGAGGCGGAGGCGGAGGCGGAGCGGCGGAGGAGGAGGGACGCGAAGGCGGAGGAGGCAATGGAGAAAAAGGAGAAGGCGGATAGCAGGGAAAGGAACGACGGTGGAGGGAGAGGATTATGAGGAGGACGGGAGGAGGAAGAGGAGGAGGGGGAGGAGGACAGGGAGGAGGCAGAACAGGAGTTGGAGGGGGAGAAGGGGAAGGAGATGGAGGAGGAGGAGGAGGAAAGACATGGAGCAACTGGTCGGTCCGCCATGGAAAAACAAGAAACAACTTCGACCTCCAAGCGCGGAGGAGGGAGCAAGAGGAACATCCGTTTCTCTCTTCGCCTCCGGAGGCGCGGAGAGAAATGTTCAATGTTTGTTCCTCCACCGCGCTTGGAGGTTGAAGTTGTTCCCCATTTTCCATGTGAAACCACATGTGGTTTTCCTATGTTTCTTTTTTTGCATCTTTTTCGCTATTCGTTCCTGCGGCGACCTCCCGTTCCTCCTCCTTCGCCTCCGCCTCCGCGTCCTCCTCATCCACCGCCTCCTGTCCTTCCTTCCTGTCCTCCTCCTGCTCCGCCTCCTCCTCTACGTCCGCCTCATCCCCCCCCCATGCACAATTTTCCCACTGGGAAGAAGGAGAGGAGATGTGTTCCTCTTTTTCCTCCTCCCCGCCCTCGAAGGCAGAGGTTTTCCTCTTTGCCCATGGGAGAAGATCGGTCGTTTCATAGTGTTCCTTTGTTTCCTCTTGTTCGTTTTTCGTTCCTGCGGCGGCCTCCCCTTTCTCCTCCTCCGCCGCCTCCGCCTCCTCCTCCAGATCCGCCTCCTCCTCCTGCTCCCCCCCCGTGGGGAAAAAAGGGAAGGAGTTGTTTTTCCCTACATCCTAAGTGGGGTTCTTGTTTTCTCTGCACACCCTCCGCGCAGGATCTCCTCCTCCTCCTCCCTCTCCTCTGCTCCTCTTTGCTTCCTCCTCCGCATCATCATCACCATCACCATCACTCCCCACTCATCATCATCATCATCATCATCATCATCATCATCATCATCATCATCATCATCATCAGCATCACCATCAGCATCACCATCAGCATCACCATCCCACGATCACTCACCATCATCGGCATCGAACGATGATCATCATCATCATCATCATCATCATCATCAGCAGCATCAGCATCATCATCATCATCATCATCATCATCATCATCATCATCATCATCATCATCATCATCATCATCATCATCATCATCATCATCACTACTCGCTGACTTGAGGCCTGAATGTGAGTATCAGGCGGGAGCCTCGTCTGTGAGTGAAGTGTGAGGAAGTCTCAGGCGGGAGCCCCCTCCCTATGGGGCCCGCGCTTCATGTTCGAATCCGAGCGGGTCATCCGCAACGTGCAACTGTCGTCACTTCTGAGCTCTTGGGACCTGAATATGGAGGAAGTCTCGAGCGGGAGCCTCGTCTGTGAGTGAATCGCGAGGAAGTCTCAGGCGGGAGCCCCCCCCCCCCCATGGGGCCCGCACTTCATGTTCGAATCCGAGCGGGTCATCCGAAACGTGTAACTGTCGTCACGTTTGGGCTCTTGAGGCCGCCCGCACTTCATGTTTGAACCCGAGCGGGTCATCCGCAACATGCATATGTCGTCGCTTTTGGGCTCTTGAGACCTGAATGTGGAGGACGTCTCGAGCGGGAGCCTCGTCTGTGAGTGAATTGCGAGGAAGTCTCAGGCGGGAGCCCCCTCCCTATGGGGCCCGCGCTTCATGTTTGAATCCGAGCGGGTCATCCGCAACGTGCAACTGTCGTCACTTTTGTGTTCTTGAGGCCTGAATATGGAGGAAGTCTTGAGCGGGAGCCTCGTGAGTGAATGGATTGCGAGGAAATCTAAAGCGGATGCCCCCTCCCTATGGGGCCCGCACTTCATGCTCGAATCCGAGCGGGTCATCCGAAACGGTGTAACTGTCAACACTTTTGGGCTCTTGAGGCCTGAATATGGAGGAAGTATCATGCGGGAACCTTGTCTGTGAGTGAATTGTGAGGAAGTCTCAGGCGGGAGCCCCCTCCCTATGGGGCCCGCACTTCATGTTCCAATCCGAGCGGGTCATCCGCAACGTGCAACTGCCGCCACTTTTGGGCTCTTGAAACCTGAATATGGAGGAAGTATCAGGCGGGAGCCTCGTGTGTGAGTGAATTGTGAGGAAGTCTCAAGCGGGAGCCCCCTCCCTCTGGGGCCCGCACTTCATGTTCGAATCCGAGCGGGTCATCCGCAACGTGCAACTGTCGTCACTTTTGGGCTCTTGAGACCTGAATATGGAGGAAGTCTCGAGCGGGAGCCTCGTCTGTGAGTGAATGGCGAGGAAGTCTCAGGCGGGAGCCCCCTCCCTATGGGGCCCGCGCTTCATGTTTGAATCCGAGCGGGTCATCCGCAACGTGTAACTGTCGTCACTTATGGGCTCTTGAGGCCTGAATATGGAGGAAGTCTCGAGCGGGAGCCTCGTGTGTGAATGAATTGCGAGGAAATCTAAAGCGGATGCCCCCTCCCTATGGGGCCCGCACTTCATGCTCGAATCCGAGCGGGTCATCCGAAACGGTCATCATCACTACTCGCTGACTTGAGGCCTGAATGTGAGTATCAGGCGGGAGCCTCGTCTGTGAGTGAAGTGTGAGGAAGTCTCAGGCGGGAGCCCCGTCCCTCTGGGGCCCGCATTTCATGTTCGAATCCGAGCGGGTCATCCGCAACGTGCAGCTGTCATCACTTTTGGGCTCTTGAGACCTGAATATGGGAGGAAGTCTCGAGCGGAAACTTCGTCTGTGAGTGAATCGCGAGGAAGTCTCAGGCGGGAACCCCCTCCCTATGTGGCCCGCACTTCATGTTCCAATCCGAGCGGGTCATCCGCAACGTGTAACTGTCGTCACTTATGGGCTCTTGAGGCCTGAATATGGAGGAAGTCTCGAGCGGGAGCCTCGTCTGTGAGTGAATTGTGAGGAAGTCTCAGGCGGGAGCCCCCTCCCTATGGGGCCCGCACTTCATGTTCGAATCCGAACGGGTTATCCGCAACGTGCAACTGTCGTCACTTTTGGGCTCTTGAAACCTTAATATGGAGGAAGTCTAAAGCGGGAGCCTCGTCTGTGAGTGAATTGTGAGGAAGTCCGTATGGGGCCCGCAGATCATGTTACTAATCCGAGCGGGTCATCCGCAACGTGTAATTGTCATCCCTGTTGGGCTCTTGAGGCTTGAATATGGGAGAAGTATCAGGCGGGAGCCTCGTTTGTGAGTGAATGGCGAAGAAGTCTCAGGCGGGAGCCCCCGCCCTATGGGGCCCGCAGATCATGTTTTTAATCAGAGCGGGTCGTCGGAAACTTGTAACTGTCGTCACTTGTGGGTTCCTCAGGCCTGAATATGGGAGGAAGTCTCAGGCGAGAGCCTCGTCTGTGAGTGAATTGTGAGGAAGTCTCAGGCGGGAGCCCCCTCCCTATGGGGCCCGCAGTTCATGCTACGAATCCGAGCGGGTCATCGGAAACCTGTAACTGTCGTCACTTTTGGGCTCCTGAAGCTTGAAAATTGGAGGAAGTCTCAAGCGGGAGCCTCGTCTGTGAGTGAATTGCTGGCCGCACGGGCATGTCGGACGATATGTGGTGGCTGCACATCTACGTCATGTTCTCCCGCGCCACGTGCATGCGGAACATGCTGATCCTGCGGCCGCCCGCGCGAGAGTTCCTGGAGCGCGGGCCGCCGGCGTCCCTGCGGAAGGCGCTCGAGGAGTTCGACAAGAGAGCGGTGGACTCCAGGGCTGGCTGAGGCGGAGCAGCTCGCGGCAGAGCTGGGCTTCATGCTGCCCCCCGCCTGAGCGCCGCGGCGCGCGCCTGGAGGCCCGCGGGGTTGTCCCAACGGCTAGCTCCCACGCCCCAGCGGCCTGCGAGGTTGTCTCAACGGCCCAGCCCGAAGGTTTGCCCCGACGGTTTCGCGATCTAGCCGTCGGCAGACGCGCGCGCGCTGGCCGAGGCGGCGACGGCGCTGAGGAAAATGGATTTGCTTGCCCCGACGAGGGGGAAGGGGAGGTGCACATGGAGAAAAGGCAGGGGGATGAGGAGGGAAGGGGCATGGGGGAGGCCGACGACGAGGAGGAGGTGGCACGAGAGGAGGAGGAGGAGGAGGAGGAGGAGGAGGAGAAAGAGGAGGAGGAAGAAAAATAAAAGGGGGAAGAGAGGGCAGTGCAGGGGGCGAGAGTAGAGGGTGTCCGCCAGGAGGAGGAGGAGGAAAGGGCAAAGGGTAAGCTAAACAGATTCTCATGTGGGGTCCTACCGTCGGAGTAATTCTCGTTGTTCCTCCTCCCCGATCTCGGAGGCGGAGTTATGCTCCCTTTTTCTGTCTGTGCGGGAACACCTTTTGTTCATGCATGTCTGTGTTGTCCTTCTTCTTCGGGCCTCCCCTTGGGACGGCGAGCGGAGGTCTCCGCCCGGTAACACCGAGAGGAGAGGAGGCGGCGAAAGGGAGCAGACGGCTGGTGCGACCCGAACGCCCACGGCGAAGGAAGCACAGCCGACGGAACGGCAAGCAAAACGGCGAAAGGTATGATATAGTGGGGGGGGGGACCGCACACACACACCTGCATACACGTACATACATATAGATATATATACACACACCTACATGTATACATATAATTGCATACATATATTTATGATTACACATACGTCTATATATATATATAGATGTTTATATGTATGGTTATATAGAGAAATATATACTTACACAAACGTACACATGTCTCCATAAGTGTATAGATACATATATACATATACACACATGTATACATATATTTACATACATATATACACATAGATTGGCGACGCTCCACCCTCTGAAGGCTTCAATAGAAGACAAAAAACGCAAGAAGCAACAAAGTTTGGCGCTCTGCACGGATTTCTTGGATCTGCGCTGGGCCGCCCTCCCTGGCGCGCGAAGCGCCCCAGGGGCGGCGCTTGAGGCGCCACCGGGGGCCCCAGGTGCCGATCCAAGAAATCCGCGCGCAGCGCCAAAAATTAATGTTTATAGTATTGTTTCTTCCTCCATTCAAGCGAGGCTATTCTCCAGATGACGGAGATTCGCTCTCGGCACTGCGCACGGATCGAGGCACCGCCTGGCAGCGCCGACCACCCCTGCGGCCGGGCACAGCTGCGAGCGGCCCGCACCACACCTCCACGCAGTGCTTCGGCCACCCACCAACACTTGATTCCTGGAGGGGCGCCTGGCGGAATACAGAGCAATAAAACAAGTTTTTGTGTGTGTGTGTGTGTGGTTCTGCCCGGCCTCCTCCCTCCCCGTCGCGCCAGGGCTGCTCTTCCTCTTTCCGTGCATCGCGGCCCTAATTTGCATGCAGCGTGTCCACTGTTGTCTATCCGCCGGAGCACTCGCCCTCTGCCCAGCCGCCGACGCAAAAAAGTGTGTTGCTATCTATCTGTGTATATATACATATATATATACTAGAACCATCGCGCGCTTCGCGCGCGCTCAAGTTCTAGCTACGTAGGGTCATGATCATCGTCATCATTGTCATCCTCACCCCCGTCATCTGCATCGTCATCGTCGTGGTCATGGTCACTTTCACCATCACAACAATCATCATTATCACCATGATCATCAACATCGTGATCGCCATCGCCATCATCGTCATCGTACTTTTCAGAATCATCATCCGCATCGCCAACATTTTGTTGGTAGTCGTCGTCGTCGTCGGCATAGTCTTCGTCATCATCATCAGCTTCATCGCCTTCATCATCCCTGGTCCACTGCAGTCCCCTTACCCTCCTCCTCTTCCCGCTCTCCCTCTTCCCATATTCATCCTTTTCCTCGTTGGCGTTGCCCTGACAGGAATCCCTGTTCCTTCACCTCCTCCTCCTCCTCTTCTTCCTCCTCCTTCGCCTCCTCCCTGTCTTCCCCGATCTTCGGTGTGTCCCTCCTTGTGTTCCTTCACCTGCTTCAGCTCCTGCCTCCTCTCGAGCCCTCTTCATCCTGCGCTCCCCTTCCCTCCTCGTCCTCAGCATCCCTCCCAAAGCCAGAGAACCAGAGAACAGATAATCCCTCCTCCTCTTCCCCATCCTCTTCCCCCTCTTCGTCCTCCTGATCTTCCTCCTCCTCCTCCTTTTCCTCCTCCTCCTCCTCCTCCTCCTCCTGCTCCTCCTGCTCCTCCTTCTCCTCCTCCTCTCCTCTCCCACCTCCACCTCCTCCTCCTCCTCCTCCTCCTCCTGCTCTCCTCCTCCTCCTTGTCCTCCTCCTCCTCCTCCTCCTCCTCCTCCTCCTCCTCCTCTCTCTCTCTCTCTCTCTCTCCCTCTCTTAACGCACCCAGTACACGGGTGCCTGCTGGACCACGTGCCGGGAGCCTTTTTGGGAAGCATTTTGGCAGTCTCTGGAGCCTCTCCGGGCCTTCCTTTGGAATGCCATGAGGCCTTTGTTGCCCCGTCTGAAGGCCCATTTCGGCTGTTCTGGGTCCCTCTTGGCTCGTCGTGGGGAGCTCAGCCCGTCTTGGGGCCCTCCTGTGGCCCTCTCCGACCTTGTAGGAATCCTCTGGTGACCCCCTCGGGCTTCCTGGGGGCTCTCTTGGGCCGTCTTGCAGCTCTTCTGTGCCGCTTGAAGCTCTCTGAAGCCCATCTTGGAACCCTCTTTGGGGCCTCTGGGGCCGTCGGAGGCCCATTTTGGTAACCTCTTGGGCCGTCGCGACCGCTGGTAGAACTGAAAAGCGAAGCTCCCAGAAATATACGTTTCCCCATGGAAATGCTTGATTTATGCCTTGGAGGGCCTTCTCAGCGGCCTCTTGGACAATCGTGGGGGATCACTTTGGCCCTTTTGTGGCTTGTCTGGGAGACCATTTCGGCTGTCCCAAGCCCCTCTTGGCATGTCATGGGTAGCTGAGCTGTCTTGGGGCCCTCATGGAGCCCTCTCCGACCAGTAATCTGGTGGCTCCCTCGGGCCCCCTGGACTCTCTCGGGCAGTTTTGGAGCTCTCTTGTGCTGCTCGACGCTCTCTTGAGGCTGTCTCAGGGCCCTCTTGGGGGCCTCGTGGACCGTGTGGCGCCGATTTGGGCGCCCTTGGGGCCGACGAAGCCGCCGATGGAACAGAAGGAGCGAATATCATACAAATGTACGTTTTTCCATGGAAATGCTAGTTTTTTGCACCCGGGAGCCTTCTCAGCGGCCTCATGGACCGTCTTCAGGGAGACCTGGTAGGCCTTGTTTGGACCCTCTGGGAGCCCAGTTCGGCCGTTCCGGATCCCTCTTCGCCCGCCATGGGGATCTGAGCCCGTCTCGGGGCCCTCTGGGGGCCCCTCTAGGGGCCTCCGACCATGTAGGGATACTCAAATGGCCCCCTCGGGGTTCCTGGGTACTCTCTTGGGCCGTGTTGGGGCTCTCTTGTGCTGCTTGAAGCTCTCTTAAGGCAGTCTGGGGGCCCTCTTGGTGGCCTTTTGGGCCGTCTGGGCTTATTTTGGGAGCCTCTGGGGCCGTCGCGGCCGCTGGTAGGACTGAAAAGCAAATATCCAAGACATATACTTTTTCCAGAAAGGAAATGCTCGATTTTTGCCCTTGGAGGGCCTTCTCGGCGGCCTCTTGGACCGTCTTGAATGCCTTTGTGGCTGTCTAGGAGCAGTCTTGGGCTGTCTTCGAGCGCTCGTGGCCCGTCCAGAAGCCAGCTCAGTGCGCTCTTCAGCGACCTTCCAGACAACCTGGGGCGTTTTGAGCGCCTCTTGGGCCAGCTTGGGAGCCTCTGGGGGGGTCTGGGGCCCCTTCTGAACCCTCGAGCCCCTGAAGCCCCCCCCCCGGCACCCCATACGAAGCAGATGCAGCAGTTCTGGGCCCTCCCCCGGCCTACTCCGATGTGTGTGTGTGTATATATAGACAGGTCTAGAGAGAGATGTACTGTTATATACAGATAAAAAATAACTACATATACACATCCATCCATCCATCCATCCATCCATCCATCCATCCATCCATACATACATACAGACATATATACATACATACATACACATATACATATACATATATATATGCATATACATATACATATACATATACATATACATATACATATACATATACATATACATATACATATACATATACATATACATATACATATACATATACATATGCATATGCATATACATATACATTTACACACATACATACATACATACATACATACATACATACATACATACATACATACATACACACATACATACATACATACATACATACATACATACATGCATATACATACATACATACATACATACATACATACATACATACATACATACATACATACATACATACAAGCATACATCCATACACACATACATACATACGTACATACATACATCCACACATACATACATGCATGCATACACACATACATACATACATACATACATGCATACATACATACATGCATAAATACATACATACATAGCATATACATATACATATACATGTACATATACATATACATGTACATATACATATGCATATGCATATGCATATACATATACATATACACATACATATACATGCATGCATGCATGCATACATGCATACATATATACATATATACACATACATATATATACATATATACAGAGAGAGAGAGAGAGAGAGAGATCGCCGCCACCGTGCTGCTGGGCACGGACTGGGCCTTTCGTCCTTTCCGATCATGACCCCTCTAAGCCTCAGTCCTCACTCCTGAGGAGTCTTTGAAGGGTTCGGAGCCTCGCGGCCCAAGTTTCCTGGGGCCTGCTTGTCGCGGCTCTCCTGGGCTCCCCCGAGTGTTGTCGCGTGAATGTTCGGGCCGAGGAGGGCCCCAAGACGGGCCAAGAGGGTCCCAAGACGCCCCCAAGACGGTCCAAGAGGCCCCGCGTCGCCGAAAGATCGCTCCTAGACGCTCAAGATGACCCCCCAGACGGCCCAGTCTCCGAGGCGTCCGAAGAGGCCTCCAAGAGGCCTCCCAAGAGGGCCCCAAAAGGCCGAAGTCATTGATGCTCCATCGGTGTTTGAAGAATTTGGGCTTTCTCGCCTTTTCGGCTTCCCGACGCTCCCAAACGGCGCTTACGTGCGGCCTCACGCGTGAAGTTTACGCGCGGATGTCGGCGAAATCGGCCCCGTTTGCTTCTGTCGCTCATCTTCCTGTCCCCGATGCGACACGACACGGGCGCGTCGGCCAGGCAGGACGAGCAGGACACCCCACGAGTCACTCGGCCGCCGTGTTCCTCCCTCACTGGTGCCGCGTCAACTTGTGGTTCTTCATCTCCAGCTTCGGAACCGTCCCGATCCTGCCCTCCAGTGTCTTGGTCGAAAGACACCGCTCCACGCTGAGCTGCAGCGCCTGCACTGCCCTGACGTCCCGCAGGTCGCCAAACCACACCTGAGCGACGAAAAGAAACGGGTCCTGCGCGACAAGACATGGCGACCCTACGCCGCAGATTGCGCGGGCCGCCGGCGCGGCGCATCGTTTGGCGCCTGCTCCATGGGAGCCTACGTGGCCCCCTGGCGCTGTCCGTGAAGAACGATGAGGGGGAGGAGGAGCCGGAGGAAACGCCTCGATGTCAGAAACATGTTGAGTCCAATGTCGCCGCTCGAGGCTCCCGTGAACTGGGGGGACAAACAAAAAGTACCGATGTCGCCGCTCCTCCTCCTCCTCCTCCTCTTCCTCCTCCTGGTCCTCCTGGTCCTCCTCCTCCTTCTCCTCCTCCTCCTCCTCTTCCTCCTCCTCCCCCCTCCTCCTCCTCCTCCTCCTCCTCCTCCTCCTCCTCCTCCTCCTCCTCCTCCTCCTCCCGGGGCCGCGCTCTGGCCAGGGTTCCGAAGCGAAAATCCCGCGGCGGCGACGAGGCACTCCCAGGAGACCCCAAAACAGGGGAAGAACGAGGGAAGGGTAGAGGCATGGGCACCCTTTTCCCCCTCCGAACTCTTACGGGAGGAGGAGGAGGAGGAGGAGGAGGAGGAGGAGGAGGAGGGGGAGGAGGAGGAGGGGGAGGAGGAGGAGGAGGAGGAGGAGGAGGAGGAGGAGGAAAAGGGAGGAGGAGGAGTAGGAGGATGGGGGAGGAGGATTTTTTCACCTGGACCTTTTCCTAGCCTGGTCTCAGGCTAGGACCCAAGCGGTGACCTCATGCGGTGGCTGACTTCGGCAGCAACCCATGGGCCCCGACAAAAAGAGCTAGTTCGAGCCACATCTGGGCTCATAGCTCACGCGAGCAGCTTTAGAGCGAGGACCCTCCGCACCATCCTCACAGCTCGTCTCGCGGCCCCTCGCCCCACTCTCGTTGGAGGGAGCAGAGGGAAAAGAATTCACTGCCTGCTGCACTGACTCGTCACGATTGGCGGTGTGACGAGCAAACTTGTTGGGCTGAGACTCGGCACCAAAATCGGAGGCGTGGCGGATCCTCGACCCCTGGTCTGCAGTGGTCGAGTGGGACAAAACTCTAAATCGGTACGACCCTTCGTGGGAAGGCGCTCTGAGACCGTGGATTTCGATACCATCCGAATCAAAAGTTGGGGACGGGCGTTGAAACAAACCTTGGTCGCTTTCAGTGAGAGCGTGAGGACCCTCCGCACCATCCTCACAGCTCAGCACGTGACCCCTAGCCCCTCTCTCGTTGGAGGGAGCCAAGGGAAGAGAGAAACCAGCCTGCTGCACTGACTCGCCACAATTGGCGGTGTGTCGAGCCGTCTTGTAGGGCCGAACTTCACCACAAGAAACAGACGCAAGGCGGATCCTCGACCCCTGGACTGCAGGGGTCGAGTGGAACAACTGGGGAGTGGCAGCAGCATCCACGACCTGCACGACAGACGACTGGTCAACGACCTCCTCTCGCTGCTGCCCATCTCCCGTGAACGGCAAAACGGTGCCATCCTGCAAAAGACTGGTGCGGGCGACGCTGCCCGGGCCACTTGGGCCACTGACTGAGATTGCTGCAGCAGCCGTGTCGACAGACGAAGACTCAACGACATTGTTAATCTGCTGCAGCTCCTGGCTCGCAGGTTGCACGGACCGCGACTCAACGACAATTTCTTCCTGCGAGCCAGGGTGTGCATTCACAACTTCTGGTGAGATTTCGACAGTCACACCAGGAAGTCGTGGGTGCCGACCCTTACATATTCTGTACTTCCATCTCTCAGCATTGTTCCTGGTAGGGCGCCCGCACTTCTTACCCAGGAGAGCTAGAGGACCCAGGGTCGAGACAGCCTTGCAACTGACACAAACGAACAACGACGAGTCGTCGCTACACTGGAAGGATAGAAGCCTGTGTCCGAGAGCCGAGACACGCCACAAAGTGTCGGGAATAACGCCAGAACAACCCTCACATGCAGGCTTGCCTGAGCTACCGAAAATTAACGGAGTGGGATGCTTAGTGCGCAAGCAAACTCCACAACGCCAATAAGAGCGGCACCACTCCCACACATGCTCAAACTCCGTGCCAGGTTTCACTTTGATTTCCTTAGGGGGCCTGGCCAGCACAACCCCGCTGAGGTCGAGCCGAGGCCACAGTGGCAAAATCCGAGCGGCCAGGCGGCAAACAGCCTTCGCAACGCTGATTTTGTGCGCAAGGTCGGTCAGTTGGGCGTCCGTGGGCCTAGGACGCGTGGCGAGGCCAGCCTTGGCAGCCTCACCAGCAGCATCATTACCAATGTTTAAACATCGGTCCCTGTCGGACAGGTCATCCGAGTCCACAACATGGGCTTTGACTTTGTGGAGGGTTCCCGTCCACCACGAAGAAGAGCTAGAAAACATGAGCCCCGCATAAGGCCTCTTATGGGACAGCTTAATGGCGGGGGGGCTCACCGTGGGCACGAACAACGTTGAGACAGTCGGAGTAGCCAGTAGAGGGGCCAACAAGGCACTGGGAGGAAGCTTCGAGGGCACCGTACTCCCCAGCCTGGCTGGTCTGGGGGAGGGGGGCCACATAGGCCCAAACGCACTAAACAATTTAGAACCGTCGTCTGCGTGGGCTGTAAAACCCCAGCTTGCTCTGGATAACTCTTTAATGATGTGTCGCTGACAGCTGCCGTCCATGAATATATGACCCGAGACCGCCGTATCGACCCTATCACGATCTCCTCCCCGCCTGGTCTGGGTACCTCCTTCACCGCGAGGACGGGGAACCGAGTCAAATGGGTGCGGGAACAGACCCTTAGTATAGAGGAGGAGGGTAGCAGGGTCAGAAAGATCGCACGACCGAGCATCTTGCTGGATCCGATCTTTCACAAGGTCGTCGCGATCTTCCTGAACATTGGGGCAGAACCACAGGCGGTGCATGAGGCTGCCAGAAGCAGCCAGGCACAAAGAGCAAAGATCGGAGTCGAGCTGGTAGCCCAGGGCGATCGCACGGTCCCTGGTCCAGGTCGCCCCGCAGCTGAGCCCGCGGATACTGCCCTTCTCGAGGGCCGTGAATTTGCTAGAGTGGAGCTGGGCCTCCACCGCGTCGTAGCACAAGCGCTTGCCAACGCCTAACGCCTGGCCCGAGTCTCTCTGCAGCTGGCGGAGGACCCCTTCAACCAACAGCTTTTTGACCAGGGAGGGGGAAAAAGACGTGAGCCCAATAGTTCCCCCGAAATCATTAATGAGCTCAGTGAACGACTTCATACCCCAGTGGATACGCTGCAGAGAGAGCTTCATGGCCCCCAAAGGCCCAGCAGCAGTACGCCACGAGAGGTTCTTATCGTCAGGATCCCTGATGAAGATGGTCTCCCAGGCTTCGCGCAGAAACCTGAAATCAAGGGGGTACTTGAAAATCCTAACCTGGTTGGCCCATACCTCCTTGCTGTAATGGATGACAGGAGCGACAGCGTAGGTAGCAGTAGGGTCCCTCTCAAGGATGAGCAGGGACGTGAGGGACCTCATGCCAGCGGAAGGTTTGAGGACCCTACCGGGCCCCTGGCGGAGCCCCTGGAGCTCGAAGTCGGAAACTCCGTGAACCCCCGAACCGTACGTGACGCCCGCCAGGGGGCCCGACGTGAAAACTTTCCTGCAATACCTCTGCCCCAGGATGCCTCTCAACCTCTTGGGTCGGGCGACCCTCTGCTTGAAAGCTTTGCACCTAACAGAAAATGTGCGGCCGCGCCCAGCTTGCCGTCGGGGCCGACCAGCAGTGTCATCAACTCCTAGATTCACAGCAGAAGAAATACATGAGGGTCCACCCACATGCTCCAAAAGTGACCTGATCTTGTTGCCGACAGCCTGGTCGGGGCAGATCACAGACGCCTTATCTTCAGAAACCACAACCTGCATATCGCCCGACAGAACCGAATACAATTGAGTGGCCCCCGTGGCAATGTCATCTACGACTGATCTGGCCGAACCCGTAGCTTGCAAATCGTAATCGTCGATATATATATATATATATATATACATATCGAGGGGATCGCGGACTTTCTGCGGCAGCAGGTCGATCGTGGGAATGGCAAAGGCCCTCACGAAGGTAGAGGCAAAGGAATCTCCCGCAATGACTCCTTGCCAAGCGAAAAAAACGCCCTTTAACGATCCCACTGATGTTGATGAACCTTGGGCCTCTGTAGGCCGCCATGCAGAGTCGTGAAATAGGAGAAGGGAAACCTAAGTCATCACACCTCTGCTGAAGAATATCGAGCCCAATAGATTCGTAAAACTTGTGGAGGTCCCACAACATAGAGCACGCAACACCCTTCTTATCCTTCCTGCTCGTCGCATGTTCCGAACGCACAGCTTGCCTCCACACAACATCCCCAGCCCCAGTGAAAGCTCCTGCACTGAGGTGCGATTTATTGAACCTGGCCTCCCATTGGACAGCGCACGGTCTCCTCATCCTCCCCCATAACCGATATGCCGAGCTAAACAAACCGATGGGTCTCCACCCACCAGCAGGCTTGGGCAGAAGCGCAACCATGATGGCTCGCAGGTGGTTGGGCAAGAGGGAGGATGCTTCCATGATGCTGATGATACGCATTAACGCCACCAGCGCGTCATCACAGAGCGAGGCATAATGACGCGTATGGAAGCCGTCGACACTGGTGGCCGTGCGAGTGGGGTACGACATGGCAACTTCTCTCAGCAAGTCGGGCGACTCGAAGGGGAGCGGATCCTGATACTCGATGGGCTCTTGCTTGGGGGGCTCCACTGTGGCCTTCCATAACCCACAGAAACGAGCAGCCTCCGAATGAAGAAGAGCTTGGGGATCAGATAAGACAACACCCTTAGCCGACAGAGTAGAACATGGGGACCACGGGGCGACTTCTTTGGTCCACCAATGGGCTCTACGGGCACCTTTTGAAACACCTTCCAGGATCCAGGACTTCCAAGACTTGTTCGCCACCTCGCGCTGCTTGATGGAAAAATCACCCAGGAACTCCGAAACCTCGTCCAGGATACTAGCACCATCAATAATCAAACCTTCTAAAACTTCAGTCTCACCAGGATCATCACGAGGAATACAACCTGTAGAACCGTCGCCCTTGGTCGAGTTGAACAGGTTGCTTTTCCCACGGCAAGAGGGAGGGTTCAATCTCATACATCGTTGAACAAACTGCTGCACCTTATCCCAGCTGCCCTGGCAGACCCCCATGCTGTCGACAATGATGTCGGGGGGGCGGAGGAGGAAGTTGCCAGAGTCGAGGGCCGAGCCCTTCACGTCACAGCCGAGGTTCGAGCAGAAAATGCGCAGGGTGCTCTCCAAACAACGAACTCCGTACAACTCAGGCTGCCGTGAAGTGCGCCTATCTTTATCCAAAACAGAGCGCCATGCAAGCTTGGGCAACCTGCCACGGGTGCCTAAAACAGGAAGAGAACACTGACGATTGGCGGCCAACTCTCTCTCCGCCGTGTTAGCCCAAAGCTTATATAACATATTAAGGTGACGCTGCAAACACTGTCTGGGGACACGGTTACGAACCAACCCCAAACCATAAGACGCACAGTCCAAAACATCCTTCCAGTCTTGAGGGGCAGGGGCAGGGCCAATAGGGGGCTCAATCGGGATGGGGGGAGGGTTAACAAACCCCAAAGCCTGCAAACTGGCCAGCTGAGGGAAGAAGCTCAACTGCACGGGCTTGCGCGGCTTGGTGGCCGCCTCCAAGCAGACACGGGTGGCCTTCACGGCCTGCGAGAGCCCGCTGGAAACCAGGAAATAGTCGAGCATGCGGACTCCTTCCTTGCTCGTGCCCGCGCAGGTGCCCTTGGATTCAGGCGCGACCAGGTTGGCACTGAGCACCGAGACCAAATCGCATGAAGCCAGAACATCAGGCTCCATCTGGAAGTCCGCACCCAAGATGAACGGACCAGGAAAAGATAATAATTCAGCACCGAGCTTGCACAAGATACCCAGATTGGACTCGGAGAGGCCCTCGGAGTCCCTGAGATACGCGGAGACCACAAGGATAGAGACTCCGCCTGGGATCTGAACAATAGCTGAAGCAGCACGATGAGGAACCAGAGTGGGGCCCACCTTAGGCGAGACGTCATGACAGCCCAAGAAGTCCCTGACGAAGATGCCCACTCCACCTGAGGTCCCGGGCCCTATACCTGGGGCCGCTGGGACGAGCCTGGACTTCCAGCCCGATCGGAGGCCCCATTGGGAGGCCTCGCCAACCAAATCACCCAGAAGATGATGTTCTTGAACAAGCACCACATGAGCCGTCGTACGACTCAACCACGCTTTCGCCGCACTCCAACCCGTGCAGTTAGCAGTCTCCACGACCAAATCAAAACTGTCGAGATCCGAGCAAGCTGGGGCCCAGAGACAACTGCCAAAATTCAAGGACGGAGCCTTGGGGGCGGGAACGCGGCACAGCCTGGCAATAGAAGGTGAAACATGCAAAAAGTCACCCCCCCCGACACGCTGCTCACGTGAGCCTTAGGCGTCGGGGGGGGTTGTTTGAGAAGGCGGCTCAGGCTGCATCCTGATGGCGAGCATCTCCTGCGCGAGCTGCCGAACGTCAGGATGTGGGACAGCATCAGCCTCATGAGCTCCCCCGTGGTCTCCAGAAGAGCTGTTGTCTGCACTGCCTCCTCCACTGGCGGAGTCCTCAAGAACTCCATCCGCTGCATCTCCAAGCTCCTGCGGTGGACGAGCACCAGCGGGGCTGCTGCCCCGCGCGATCTCCTCAGCAGGCTGGACGGAAGTCTCTTCAGGCTTCCTCTTGTGGAGCTTGGACATGTGCTGGAGGTGGGAGGCTTTGATCTGGTCCACAGACTGCTGAACCTTCTCAAACAGTTGCTTCGTGATGGCGGCCACACTCTGCTCCAGCTCGCGTTTCCTGGCCTCGAACTGGTTGTGGTCGTCGGCTGAGAGCTCGTACTCCTTAGCGTCGAGACCGAGGATGCCTTCACCGTGGTCGATGGTGAGGGCCCCTTCCTTACCGTCGAGGATGTCGCGCAGGCAGAGTTTGCCAACAGACCGAGGAGGATCAGGATACACCACATGATGCAGCTGCTCGACCAAGGCTTTGTGCTCCTTGTCGGCCTCGGACAGCTCGGCAGTGAGTTTGGCCATAGCTTCTTCGCATTGATACACCCACTTCCTCGCCCTGGCGACATCATCCATCTCCTTCTTGAGGCGGCGCTCGATGGAATGCACACGCTGGCGCGCCTCCTCAGTTTGTTTTTCCAGGGGCTTGGGTGGGATCTCCTTGGGTTTCTTAGCCGCAAGCCACACCTTATACTGAGAAGCTGCAATAGAGTCACCGAACTTCTCAGCCAGCGCGAGCAACTGCTTGACATCGTCTTCAGTCGCTGTGTCTGGGACCGTGATGGCTGCTGGCGACAGGTGCGGAGGGCCCCGCTGCCAACTTCCACGAGGCGCAGGAACATCACGCACAGGCACATCGACACGTTCACGCTTGCAGTGCTTACAAAACCACCATTTGGCAAGATTTTTTCCACACCCACAATCCTCACAGCTGCACTTCCACATCGCCTGGCGACCGCCACCGCGATGCTGGGCGTCCTCTCCGTCGACACCTGCGGCGAAGCGAACCCGCTTTGCCCACGGCCGCTCCTCCCAAGGCGAGGCCTTCGGCGGCGGCACCATTGCGACTGCTGGAAGTGGCGGGACGTGGCTGGAGGAACCGAGAGCCAGAATGACTCGCTGTCACCCAGCCGTTCTGAAGCGTCAGTGACAGCAAGCACAAAACTTTGTGCCAGAACGGCTGGATGGGGGAGGAAGAGGAGGAGGAGGAGGAGGAGGAGGAGGAGGAGGAGGAGGAGGAGGAGGAGGGAAGAGGGATGGATTGGTGCCAGCATGGGTACCTCATGCGACCTTATGCGCGACGTCGCATGGGAGAGAGCCCATCGCGCGCCGCCGCCCTGGCAGCCTTCAGTGCCCTCTCCCCCGTCGTTCGTGGCTCGCTCCCCCTCCGTGCTCGTGTCCTCGGTCTCGTCGTCGTCGTCGTCGTCGTCGCCGTCGTCGTCGTTGTCGTCGTCGTCCTCGTCGTCGTCGCCGTCGGCGTCGGGCGAGACCTTGACGCGGGAGACGCCTGCCAACCAGTGATCCCGCGCAAAGCGCCCCCCGCTTCCCACTTCTGCCGCCGCACCTCGATGCGGAGGTGCCCGGTGCCGCCGCGGCCCGCGGAGAGCTTGTCCACCAGCCGCAGGCCCGTGATCATGTCCGGCGGCTCGACCGCCGACCGGCGAAGAACCCAGCCAGATTTGAGCAGGGTCCGACGGTCCCGGCATTGCGAGAATCCCTACACGCCTGCCACGAAGGGTTCTCAGAACCATAAATAACTAATGTTCCAAGAACAAAGCACAACGCTCTTAGAACACCGAGCCGACTGTTCAAACCCAGCTGCCGACGGTCCCAGCATTGCTATAATCCCAACACGCCTACCACGAAGTTATCTTAGAGAACAAGTGTGTTCCCAGAGCAGAACACAACGCTCTCAGAACAGAAAGCCGCCTGCTTAAACCAAGACGGTCTCGGCAAGAAGTACTCTAAGGACTTTTCGCACAGACCACCACAGGTTATTAGTACAGTCTGTGGTGGGCCTATAGGCCAGCCAGGGCGCCTCGCCGCTGCTTGACAGATCTCCGACGATGTCATTGTTTCAGTCGCTAGGTGGCGACATCCGAACCCTACCCCTGCAAACCATCGACTCTCCTGAATCGATGGGCGGAGGGGGTAGGGTTCGGATTTCGCCACGTGCTCGCCGAATTCCGAGCCCCCCCCCCCTCCCCCCCCCTCGCCCATCGAGTTGCCTGATCTATGGTCGGCGAGGGCTGGGTTCGGATTTCGCCGCTGAGTCGAGTCGCTTTAGCCTTCTCTTCGGTACCTGGGGGCCGCTTTCGGGCCCCGGAGCCCTCAAAAAGTAGCTCGGGTCCCATAACTACCCAAGGGGTCGGGATCTCGGGGGTCACTCCTTGGAAGCATCATACCGGAGAGGTCAAGGAACAACGGAAGGTAAAACTGTCAGCTGGGTGTTGACGCCCGAATTACGCAGGATAACTCCGGTCAAGGCTAATTAGAGTGGGGGCCCGACCACAAGAAACCTTCCACAAGAAACCCAACCCTGAGACCCCAGGACGTCCATTGATTCCCGGTGTGGGAACGCCACGCCTCCCGTAGCAAAACCAGCGAAACCCAGGAGACCCAGGGCACCCTGGAGGCGAGCCGGGTGCTTCCTGGCATGGGCCTCCACTGGAACCCCGGACTAGGCCCCAGGCGCGCGACTCCGGCGCTGTGCAGCAGGAGCTGTGCTCCTGACCCGGAGCTGCCGCCGTCGCTGGCGGGGCTCCTTGCGGCTCTGCCGCACCTGTAGCGCGGCTTGGAACGCATGTGTTATTCGCGGCCAGAACGGAGGGAAGGGGCGGGAGGGGAGGGTGGGAGGGGAGGGGGGGGAGGAGGGGGAGTAGGAGGAGGAGGAGGAGGAGGAGGAGGAGGAGGAGGAGGAGGAGGAGGAGGGGAGAGAGGAGGAGGACGAGGAGGAGGGGGAGGAGGAGGAGGAGGAGGAGGAGGAGGAGGGGTCCTCAGACATCGGCCCAGCCGCGCAGGGAGGAGGAGGAGGAGGAGGAGGAGGAGGAGGAGAGGAAGAGGAGGAGGAGGAGGAGGAGGAGGAGGAGGAGGAGGTCTTGAGCCGCGGCAGTTCTGGGGGGAGGGAGGGGGGGGAGGGGAGGGGGCATAACGTAGCACCCCCCCCCCAAGACTGTGGTGCCGGACGCACTGCCAGTGCTGGGAAGGCACTGAGCGGGGGAGCCTTACGTGATGGAAAGGGGGGGGGGCAGGGGGCTCCACGCGCGTGACGGCCCGAGGGAGGAACAAAAACACTCCCTCGGAGGTAACGTATACCTAGCGAGCGATCTCCGCCCAGACGCCTCGCGCCGTCCACCCGCCAAAACCACGATGGTCCGGGGCTCTGGCATGGGTCACCGACCAACCGGGGGGGCGCGCTGATTCTGCACTCAAGCGGGAGGAAGCGGGAGGAGGAGGAGGAGGAGGAGGAGGAGGAGGAGGAGGAGGAGGAGGAGGAGGAGGAGGGGGAGGAGGAGGAGGGGGAGGAGGAGGAGGAGGAGGAGGAGGAGGAGGAGGAGGAGGAGGAGGAGGACGAGGAGGAGGAGGAGGACGAGGAGGAGGGGGAGGAGGAGGAGGAGGAGGAGGGGGAGGAGGAGGAGGAGGAGGAAGGCAGGCGGTGCCTGCTCCCCAAGCCTCTCCCGGGGGTGCGCCCTGGCCAAGACGTCGGGGAGGACACAGCCGTGGCGGCCAGGGCCCTCCAGGACGAGCCGCGGCATCGCTACCGCTCTTCCTCGCGGAGTGCAGGCACTGGCTCTTGGCCGGTCGAGATGGTGGCACCGACCACGCCCAGCACGATGTTGTTCCAATACTCGTCGATCTGCCCGCCGCCGAGCGCCGGCCTGAGCTGGAGCTGGAAGTGCCCACCCTCCGCGTTCGCCTCGTCCTCCTGCAGCAGCGGGCGGGGCCCCACCCCTGCTCGCATCCCCCGTGGCTGCTTTCGCGAATGCCTCGCACCGCAGGTCGTCGGAGGGTCGGAGAGAGGGGTCCGAGGCGGGGAAGAATACATATATATATATATATATATATATATATATATATATATATATAGCCCGCCTCCACTCCCGAGGGCCAGCTCTTGAACGGCCTGGCACGATGGAGGTGCGGGGGCGACGGAGTGGCGATAGCCATCCGAAACACAGAGCGCTCCCCGGACGTTTTCACATACGAGCAAGGCCTATCTGTGTGGGTCGGAGCCAGGCAGACGCACGTGTCCCATGTTGGGCCGGGCGTCGACACACGAGCGTACAGACAGAAAACAGCGAACAGGACCCACTGACTCCCGGGGCATCAAAGGCACGGAAAAAGATTCTTTGACAGGGTGGCTCGCGGGCGGGCGCACTTTGAGCCACAATGCCGATGGCGTAGCATCGGCATGGCAACTCCCTGACGAGTCAGTGCGGCCCCTCTCGCATTTCCCCTACGCAGATCGTTGTTAAAACCACGCAGCCCGCCTCCATTCCCGAGGGCCAGCTCTTGAACGACCTGGCACGATGGAGGTGCGGGGGCGACGGAGTGGCGATAGCCATCCGAAACACAGAGCGCTCCCCGGACGTTTTCACATACGAGCAAGGCCTATCTGTGTGGGTCGGAACCAGGCAGACGCACGTGTCCCATGTTGGGCCGGGCGTCGACACACGAGCGCACAGACGGAAAACAGCGAACAGGACCCACTGACTCCCACATCCCGACGGAGATGAACCTGGCCGGCAGGCCGTCAAAAATGGTAAGTATACGATGCAGGAATCTATCTCGTTATGATGTTTACGAGATGCTTGTGAGACTGGACTTGCATAGTGTTCAATGAGCTTAGCGACCTCACGACAAAAAAGAGGAGGGTAGGCAGCCGCCTGCGCCGTGAGGTGCGCACCGCCGGCGTGGCCGGTGAGGATCACGTGAGGTCTGTTCGAACGAGAGCACATCCCTCGCCTGCCGGCGCAGCGCCGCTGAAGGCGGGACAGGTCGACGGCGTTCCAGGCCGCCGCCGACGTCCGCTTACGCCAGGGGGCGTCGTACTGACAGCAGTCGAAAGTCAGCAGCTGGCAAGACGGATGCTGAAGCAATCGTTGCAGACGTCGCGCTTGCCATATCAGCGAGCCCGCCGGGTTCTCAATGAAAACTGGGATACGCAGCTCCAGACAAAGCTCAATCACATCACAAGATAAATGGAAAGTTCGGTTCCCCATGCGAACTTTGGCGGCCTCGTGAGGCAAGAGGTCAGCCCGCCCCATCGGCCGCGCCCGTGTCCGCAGCGGCTGTCGTAGCGCCTGTGTCCAGGTAGTGCGAAGGGTGCCCAACCAGACGGCGCCCGCGACCCGGCCTGCTAGCCAGCCCTTCACGACAGCACGGAACTCGCGGCTGAGGTGGTCCTCAGCTGGACCCCGCCACAGGCCCAGGTCCAGCGCAGGCAGCCCACGCCGCCTGACCGCCTCTGCGAGGTGTGACTAGCCAGCAAAGAGCTCCAGCACCACGCGCCGCGTCCGCTGCGAACGCAAAGCGCGCCGAAGGCGCCGTTTGAGATGCCGGCTGCACACCCCGTCCTCGGCGTTGCTGGGCCTGGCTGCTGGCCGCTGAGGTGGGCCCGGGGCGGTGACGCCCGAGGCCCCGGTCAGCCGGGCGGCAGGCCGCTCGCGGCCCCGCCGGCCTGACGCCGCAGCCACTGGGCCCAGCGTCGGCAGCGCAGTCGCCGGCACCAGGCCGTACAGGTTCATCCTGCTGAAACCGTGCTCGAGGAGAGAGCTGAGGTTCGCCTCGACGAGGGCCCCGAAGGCGAAGACAGCCGCGTTCACCCGCGCCATCTCGTCCAGCAGGGAGCCCTCCTTGCCGTAGCGCCGCATCGACGACGCCACTGCCCATCTGCCTCGACGCTGCACCTCGAGCGGGCTGCGGCGGCCCGTCAGGAGGTCGTCCGAAGCTCCCCCGTGGCGGAGGCTGTAGAGGTGGGGCCTCAGCGACGACAGCTTCAGAGCCTGGCACGCACTGCTGAACTGCGCGGTGAGCTCGTCCAGCGAGAAGCTCCACAGGCTGGCCCCTGGCGGCGTCGCTAGCCGCATCGCCGCCAGCACCGGCCACAGGGGGGCCTGGTCGATCAGCACGCTGTCGTCGTAGTGCCCGGTCTTCCCCGCCACTCCGCGCTCCAGCGGATGCATCAGCAGGGCCCAGCACGAGTGCCCCGCGCCGGCTGCCGGGGCCGGCGGCGCCAGGCTCTCGTGCGTCAGGCCCTGCGCCTCGGCCGGCCGCAGGTAGGCTGCGAAGGCCAGGACCACCCAGCATGCCATCCCAAGCTGCCCGTGGCTGATCAGCCAGCCCGCGATCGCGTAGACTGCAGGGCGCGGCAGCGGCAGCCGGGTCTTGCCCGGCGCGCGGCGCTTCCAGGCGGCCGAGGCCCTCGAGGCCCGGGGGAGCACGGATACCGTCTGCTTGAACAGCAAGGGCGTGACGTGCGCGATGGCCGCCAGCGTCTGGCTCCCGATGTTGCACGCCGTCCCCAGCAAGTAGTGGTCCGAGAAGTAGCTCGACAGCACCAGGTCGAGCTCCTCGTACGTCTTCCAGTCCTGGCGGTGCTGCTGGCACCACTGCACGAAGTTGTTCAGCATCTGCAAGTAGCTCCGCTCGGTGTTCGCGCGGATGGCCAGCGTCTCCAGTAGCGTCAGCCCCGCCAGCAGCGGCCGCGAGCTCCGCGCCTGCTGAGCCAGCTTCTGCCGCTGCGCCACGGCGGCCCCCGCGCTTGGCACGCGAGACTTCCGAGCCGCGTCGGCGCCCACGGGGCCCGCAGTGGCGACCACCACGACGGCCAGTAGGAGCGCCACCCGCGGGCCCGCGCAGCACGCGCCGCCCGCTGAACCAGCCATACCGCCCGCGGCTGACTGGGTCCGATGTGTTCCGTTCTGAGGCGACCCACCTGACGTGCAGCTTCGAGCCGGTGGCGACTGACAAAGCACATGCCCGTCCGAGGCACCGGCGGAGGTGTTTGCTTTTGGCCCGGCCCTTCACGACCCCAAGAGCAAGCGGCAGATTGTCGACTATGATCATCACCCTTTGCCCAAGGCTGCTCGAATCCCGCAAGAGATGACGGTAGGCCAAGCAGAGGCCTTCACCTTCCAAGAACAGGATGTTCGCCCCGAACTGAGACCTGGACGGCCGCGGAGGGCCGCCATGCTGGGGAGTCGGTGATGTCTGCTGGGACCTCCTCGAACCTCACCGCGAAGCCCTCCGGGTCCTCCGAGACCTCCTCGGGCGCCTCGGCGAGCACCCTGCCAGAATCCAGAACGGGGTCCGCGAGGGGCGCCACAATATAGTTCGGGAAGGGCTCCGCGTGCTTGGGCGGGGTCTCGGCGGCATCAGGGTCAGCGTCAGCAGCGCGATGTCCGTTTTTGGTGGCAGCCATCTTTTCCGACGCAGATCCGCAAGCAAGGGAGCGCTCGCGAGCTGCCTGCGCCCCGGCGACTTTGAACCGCCAGCGCTCTGAAAACCGGGCGCAGCTGGCGACGACCGTGGCCTCCAACCGCTGGCGCGCAACACCGAGCCCCTCTGGCGCGGCATCGCTGCAGGTGATCGTGCTGCGCCAGCCGGCGGTCAGGTCCGCCTGCAGGATCGGCAACAGGTTGCGAACCGTGATCAGCTCCCGCGCCGCTGAGTCCCACAGGCGGCCAGGGCGGCCCTCGAACGCCTCGACGAATGCGTAGCAGGCGCGCAGGGTCGTCAGGGCCTCGCGCCGCAGCATGCTCATCCAGGTGATGTGCCCAAGGACGGCCCGCAGCGCGTAGCCAGTGACCCACTTCCGCCGCAAGAGGCTACCAAGCGCGGCCCTCAGCCGCCAGACGTTCTTGGCCTTCACGGTGAGCGCCTTCCCGGCGTGCAGCTGCAGCCCCAAGAACTGGGCGTTGGCCGACGCCTCGACAATCTCGTGGGCCACGAGCCCGGCGTCCTCAAAGCGCCGCACGAGGGAGTGCAACAACGAGTTTGCCACCTCTGCGCTGGTGCCGATGGTGACCACGTTGTCGACGTATGCGCCCGCTGCGGCCGGACGCGACGGTCCGAGGGCGATACCGACCTGACCGTCCACGATGATGCTGGACGGGTCGACCCCGCTCCGCAGCAGGCAGGTTGCAGCCACATCTTGGCACAAGTGAAGAGCCCAGGTGAACCCCATCGGCAGCACCAACACGCGAGCTGCCACCATCACTCCCGGCCCGAAAGGCAAGTCGTCGAGCCCGGCCTCCAGCATGAAGGTGGAGTCGATGGCGAACAGCGAGAAGTACTCTTCCATGCCGCTGGGCAGCTTCATGTGGTAGAAAGCACACTCCAAGTCCGCCGTCGCCACGAACACCCCCGACGCGGGGGCCTCCACTGCGCTCCAGGCAGCAGCGGTCGGCAATCTGGTCTTCGGAGGCGCCTTGAAAAAACCATTTGCGATACGCGTGTCAAAGATGATGCGTTGCGCCCCGCTCTTCTTCGGGACGAAGAACACACCGACAGTCCCCTTGGCGTCCACGGCGGCGGAGAAGTGAACCATCCCCTTGCCGTAGAGCTTGCCCAAGAACTCAGCATAGGTCCGCGGGTCGCCGACTAGCCCCTGGTCGCAGTGTGCCCCCCTCGGGCACGCCGTGGCCATGAGCTCTTCTGCCTCCCTCGGTGGTCTCAGCATTTGGCTCCGCCAGTCCCGCAGGCGCGCCGCCTCCGAGGGCCCCAGGATGGTGGGCAACTCCACTGGTGGCATGCTCGAAGATGGCCATGAGATCTGCTCTCGGCGGTACGGAACTGACGGGTTGCAGGCGCCGTCTCCATAGATGGCGACGCCCTGGAGGAGCTCCGAGAGGGCTCCGTCCTCGCACCCACGCGTCTCCGCATACTGCTCGGGCTGACGACCAAGCCGATGTAGAGCGGTGCTCATGTTCTGGATGGCTGTCCGCTGGCTCTCGTTGACTGGGTCGCCGACAACACTTTGACAACCATAGAGCGAATTCAAAGAAGAAAATGCAGCGTTCAGCCGATGCAGGTGGTGAAGGCGAACGGCGCGACGACGTAGCGGGCGGCGACTGAGCGTGGGCTTGCCGCACTCGCTGCCGCCGCCCACAAATGGCATCGGGAACAGGTCGCGCTGTCTCCCTGCCTCGGGCGGCCAAGAGGCGGCCGCCTGGCCGGTGGTGTCCTTACTGCGAGCAGCCTGCCGGTCCCCCAGGCTGCCACATTCATCGCCGATCATTCCCCCGCGGCGGCCGCATCGCCGCGGCCGCCGCCTTTTCCTCCCTTCTTCTTCTTCTTGCCGCGGCCGCCTCCTCCAGCACCAGCAGCACCGCCGGCGGCGAGGGCCCGCTCCTCACGAGCCTTCCTCCACTCCTTGGCGATAGCCGCCTCCTTCTGCAGCTGGGCGGAGACGTGGTCCCGCAAGGCCGGGCACGCACACACGTGCCCACGACCGTGGGTCATCCCGATCATCAGGTTGTGGTTCAGGTCAGCATCCTCCGAGCTCTCGAAGCGGTGCCTGTAGCGCTCGCTCTCAGTCTGGATCGACCGCGCGACCAGCTCCATCGAGGCTAGGTTCGAGCAGTGAAGCTGGTCGTAGCAAAGCCCGATCTCGAGCAAACGACACATCATCTCGTGGTTGCCAACGCCAGGCTCGTCGTCGTCCAAGTTCCCATCCGTGCGGAGCTTCTGGTGCCAGGCGAGCGGCGTCCCGGCGACCCTCAAGATGAAGAGCACTACGCATATCAGCGTGCGCGGTCCATCAATAGGCCAGTCTGCGAAAGGCATCTCCACCAACAAACGCGCAGCCTCTGAGAAAGGCCGGTGACGCTGCCCACGTATGTCGGTCTGCACCGCCATGATCCTGAGGTCGCCGCCGGGAGCCCCCGCAGCTGCGCCCATGAAAGGCGCGCCCGCAGGCGCTGCAGCCGCCGGGGGCACGGGCGCGGCGACTGGCGGCGCCGCGGGTGCGGCCGCCGCCGGGGCGCCGGGCGGTGGGGCGTCAGCCACCAGAGCGCCGTCGGCAGGTGGGCCCACGAGGGCGGGCGGCGCGGCCACCAGGGCCCCACCGCCGGGGGCCGCGGCGGCGCCGATGCCGCCGCCTGCGAGGGCCGCGGCCAGCCCGTCCACGCCTCCTGCGGCGCCCGCGCCGCCGGGCGCGGCCGCGGCTCCTCCTGCGGCGCCAGCGGCCGCCCGCACGATCGCCCGTCCGACGGTGTTGGGCACGACCGCCGGCTGCGCTCCGAGCCCGAGCATCGTGGCGGTGTCCTGCACCCCCTGCGCGACCACCGGGCCGAGCGGGATCGCGTTAAAGCGATAGGTGGCATCGCCTCCGAGGGCCGCTGCTCCGCCACCGGCCGCGCCCCGGTCACACACGATGCACTCTGCGATGCCGGCGCCACCGATCACGATCTCCACGTAGGCGTCCCCATCGGGCGTAAGGATCCCCACGCCCCACGGGGCCGCCGCCGCGAGGCACAGGACGAGCCTCTCGTGCCACAGCCGGCGCCCGGCGACGTTGTAGCGGATGAGGATGAAATCCCCGGGCTGCACGCCTATCCGCTCCAACGGATGTGTCGGCGCTGCCATCATTGCGGGCTGGAGCCCGTCGTCCGAGCCCGCGCTGCCGCCGCCTGCACCCGGGCCTCGTCCTCAATCGAGAGGGCCGCCTGCGGCACCTTCCCAGCCGCCGCCGGCGCCGGCGCTGGCACCCCGGCCGCGCGCAGGCCGTGGCCCGCCCAGGCGCCCCCCGCAGCCCCGACGGTGAGGCCGACGATCAGCGCGGCCACCGCGTAGGCCGCGATGAGGCCCGCGCACGACGGCTCGGGCACCTGCCCGCCAGCGCCTGCGCAGACGCAGGAGGGGATGGCAGGGCACGCAAGCTGAGGCGCGCAGGCGCCACAACTCGGGGCCGCCGCGCGCGCGACAACGGAGGCGCCGATGGCCTGTGCCCCGTACTGCAGGATTCCAGACAGGGAGGTGGCGAGATCCTGCATCGAAGACGCCTCTTGCACTTTGAGCCACAATGCCGATGGCGTAGCATCGGCATGGCAACTCCCTGACGAGTCAGTGCGGCCCCTCTCGCATTTCCCCTACGCAGATCGTTGTTAAAACCACGCATCTATATATATATATATATATATATATATATATATATATATATATATATAAAAATATATATGTATCACCACCGCCTGGGGGTTGAATCTCTGGGGGCATGGGCGGGCGGTGGACCTGGATAGAATCTTCGGTGGCAACTCATGAGAACCTTCCATACCATCATTTCTGCTCTTGCGAATCGACGATAGTCGACGCTACATCGACGCTAAATCGACGCTAATCGACGCTAGTCGACGCTAAATCGGCGCTATCTCACGACTCCAGACGCTAATCGATGCTAACCGCGGCCAAAGATTGAATTAGGAGGATATACCAGGCTTCCTTGATTTGCTACCGACTAGAATCTGGCCATCCCGGGGCCCAAATCAGTGCTTGGGGGTGCGACCGAAGAGAAACGTGAAATGCCTCAACTGGGAAATCGTGTTGCTCGTGCGTGACGCATGTGCGAGCAAGGCGAGGCGAACCTGCGCGATTTCCTCCACTGGTGAGGGCCACGAAAAAGAAAAGGCGGCACCCAGATCCCAACCGTTGTATGAACATTGTCCCGTTGATTGTTTCCATGGTTGTGCCCATGGCTGCTGTCCCGATGGTTGTCCCGATGTTCAATCTAATGGTTTTCCCGAGGGTTGATCCGATGGTTGTCCCGACGGTTGTCCCTATGTTTGTCCCGATGGTTCTGCGAGGCCAGGATAATTACCAGAAGAAGCTGCTCTGCGAGGCCCCCAGCACATGCGTTCAGCGGGCAAACAAATACAACATCCACGCGCGCACACACACACACGCACACACACATGGATGCATTTAGATATGGATCTGGAGATGCATGCCAAAACCACTGGCTTACTTCGTGCGCATAGGCTCGAATCACTACTCCGCTACGGCTGCCTCAAAAAACACGGGTGCTCTCGCGTCCGCCATCACCGCTGTGTCTGCCATGGCTACGATCGCGACTACCACCGCTGTCATCGCCATGAATTCACATTCACCTGTGCGGGGTAAACTTCGGTTCGTTCCGACTCCGTGCCTGAATTGTGGGTCAGAGGCCTCGGGCATGCTCGTTGGAATTGCGTGGGTGGCCCCCCAGGACCTGTTTGACGCAGCATTGAGGCCTCTTGGAGGGGTCGATTTGAAGTCTCTTCGGGCTTCGTTTGGGTTTCTGATGGGGCTCGTAGGGCCTCTTAGGCACTTAGGGGCCTTCCAGGGGCTTCGGGGGGCCAGGTAGGTTTCCAAGGGTTCTCTTCGGGCGGATTCTTCTCCACATGTTTCGTAGGGTTATGGTTTTCTTCCCTCCCGCGTCCCACCCGCGAGGCTCACTCGCCTCCTCCCCTGCTCTTCCTTCCTGCCTTACAGGCGCACGTGCGCACACACGCACACACACACACAACCACACACGTAGGCACGACCCCCCCCCCCCCCCCACACACACACACACACACACACACACACACACACACACACACACACACACACACACAACACACACACACACACACACACACACACACACACACACACACACACCCACACCCCACCCACCCACCCACCCACCCACCACCCACGCACCCACGCACCCACGCACCCACGCACCCACGCACGCACCCACGCACGCACGCACGCACGCACGCACGCACGCACGCACGCACGCACGCACACACACACACACACACACACGCACACACACACACATACACACACACACACACCACACACACACACACACACACTCGCGCGCACACACACACATACACACACAACCACACACACACACACATCAGACACTTACACACCACACACCACGCAACACAGACACAGACACAGACGCAAGGCACAGCAAGCGTGGCACTTGCTCGACACCAGAAGGAGATGCGCAGGAAGTGGTCCCTGAGCGCGGTCTCTGTAACGCTCCAGGTTCGCAGGGCACGGCAGACGTGGCACTTGCTCGACACCGCAAGGGGTGCGCTGGGGGTGGGGGAGCTATGCTTTTCAGGCTCGCAGGGCATGGCAGGCGTGGCATTTCCTGGACGCCACAGGGGGTGCGCTGGGGGTGGGGGCGCTATGCTTTGCAGGCTCGCAGGGCATGGCAGGCGTGGCATTTCGTGGACGCCACAGGGGGTGCGCTAGGAGTGGGGGCGTGATGAGCTGCACGCTCGCAGGGCATGGCAGGCGTGGCATTTCCTCGACGCTACAAAGGGTGCGCTGGGGGTGGGGGCGCTACGAGCTGCAGTCCCGCAGGGCATGGCAGGCGCGGCATGTTCTCGACGCCACCGGGGGTGCGCTGGGGGTGGGGGCGCTATGCGTTGCAGGCTCGCAAAGCATGGCATTTTCTCTATCCACAGGGGGTATGATGGGGGTGGGAGCGTCATGCGTGCAGGCTCGCAGGGCATGGCAGGCGTGGCATTTCCTCGACGCCAAGAGGGGATGCGCTGGGGGTGGGGGTCGCTGTGCGTTGCAGGCTCGCAGGGCAGGCGTGCCATTTCCTCGATTCCACAGGGGGGCGCCGGGGGTTGGGGCGCTACGCGTTGCAGGCCCGCATGACATGGCAGGCGTGGAATTTCCTCGACGCCACATGGTCAGGCTCGCAAGGCGTGGCACTTCCTTGACGGCACAAGAGGTGCGATGGGGGTGGGGGCGCTACGCGCTGCAGTCCCGCAGGGCATGGCAAGCGCGGCATTTCCTCGACACCAACAGGGGGTGTGCTGGGGGTGGGGGCGCTATCCGCCCTGGTCGTCCACGGCACGCAGGCGTTGTCCTTTCTTGGCCACATAGCATCATTGACGCATGTTGCACGTCAGCTATGCTAAGACAAGGGTTTAAACGAAGTATGTGGGGTTCCTCGGTAGCGTCATTTTAATTTTCGATTCGAATTCGCCCTCTTGGCCCCTTCTGGGGCTGCCTTGAGACCATCTTGGGCCTTCTTGGGCATCTCTTGGGCCGTTCTGGAGCTCCAGACGCAACGCCACTGTGCCTAACACGGCCATCAATGAGACCATGACTGCTCTCACTCTCACCACCGGGATCACTCCTACCGCAATCCGACCACCACCACGACTACTACCAACACTAATGCTAGTACTAATGCTAGGCGAAGTGGCACTTGCACCATGACTGCTACGATCACTATAAATACTACTGCACGGCTACACTCAAGCACTGCCTTTACGAGTCCTCCACCATCACAACGGTTTGTCTGGGTCAAGGGGCGGTGGTGGTGGCCGTGGTGGGAATTGTGGCGGCAACAGAAGCAGTCGCAGCAGTCGTAGTAGTTGCGCCAGTAGAAGTCGCGGACGCAATAGTAATAGCTGCAGTCATGACTACAATAGCAAAATCAGTCGTAGTAGTCGCAGTGCTAGACTGTGAGCAATGGAGGTCGTATCACTGATAATAATGGCCGTGATGGAGGGACGCCAAATAGAAGGGTCGGCTAAAGAAGGAGATGAGGAGGAGAAACAGGACAGCCACGACCATCACCCCTTGTTAAAGGTAAAAAGGTCGTGGAATATCAGCCCTCGTGTTCAAAAACTTTCGGCCGGTTGCGAATTGGATTGGCCTTGGAATGCCGTTGGGGTTGCGCATGCATTATATTCAGACAGCGTGCGTTGACATGGACAAGAACAATATTTGAATTCAATAAGATTGGACCATGCCCTGCAAACAGAAGATTTGAATGGGATTCTAATCGGCACCTGATCGGAAGTGGATAGACGTGGCCCCGTGCTCAAAGGATTTCCTTGGGATTTGGGGAAATCATTCAAATGGGCTCGTCACGAATTGAGAAGGCCCCTGAATCAAAGCATATGAATTGAGTTAGCATGTGGCACCACAAATAATTTCATCGGAATAGAGCAAAGACCAAATTCAGATGACTGCAAGTGGATTTGACTTGGACCCCAACGGAGTTCGATCGTGATGGAACAAACCCCAAATTCGGTGGACTCTCAGTGGATTGGCATGGGAACCCGGCACATATTCAATTGGAATTGAGCGAGTCCCAGATTCAGAATATCTGGATTGGTCTTGAATAGAAGCCCAGGGGTATTCAATAGGTTTGGAACATGCCCCATGTTCACAGGCCTACGATCGAATTGGAATTGGTTGGACTTTGTTCAATGTTTTTTTCAGCGTCAAAAAAAGTCAGCAAGGCAACATTTCGAAAATGACACGTCAAGAATGAGACGAGACACATCGTTAAATAGAAACAGATCCCCCCTCCTGGCAGGGCCCTGCGCGCGAGGTGGCTGCGGATGAATCGCGCGGCTGCAACTTGGAACTTGCCCGCGCACGGGTGGTCTGACTCCGGATCTCTGCTTGGTGCGACTTTTTGGAACCGTGCGTCCTGTGGGGTAGAGACTCCACCTGTTCGAAGCAGGCGCCAGAAACCGCCAAGGTCTACTCCATGGGGAGGGGGGGCGGGGGGGTGCGAGGGCCCGCGCCGATC